ACTTGGAAGTAGTACCCCGCTGACTTCTTCGCGGCCATTTTCATGTTTTTGTTTACTTTAACATGATTTGCCATCATTTCTTCCGATTAACCAATCGGAATGCGCGTAACAACAGCAAATGTTAGTATGTAAAAATCAAACCTGAATCGAATCGAAATCCCGGAAAAACGTACCGAATCGAACCAAAAGATTGTGAATCGCGGTTAACCGATATTTCGGTTAATCGTGGCAGCCCTACTAAAATCTGACAGCCCCTCCCCCTCATGATCTCGTATGCAGAAAGAAAAGAAAAATTATGAACACAAGTGTGTGTACCATAGGCGTCGGAAGCAAATGAAAGGGGGCTATTAGAGAGGGTGGGGGGTGGGGGTAAACCAACAGAGAAAGGTAAATTCCAAAGCCTACATTATGTAATCTATATAATTTGCAAATAAGTAGCTATAGGTAGGCTAAACCCCCCCCCCCCCCCCCGGTTCCGACGCCTATGCGTACACTAGTAAGAGAGGGGTATAGATACGTATCTAATTAATTTCTTATTAATGGAGGAAGCTATATTTTAATAAACCATTTGTTTTCTACATGAATATAGCGGCAATATTTAGACCTATGTGTGTGTAATACTAACTTCTTTGAGGAAATGCGGGAGGTTTGAAAGACGTCTTTTACCATACAGTAAATGTGTACAATGTATCGAGAACGAATACACAAAATAGAAAGAAATGTCAAGAATTTTATGCATACCGTTTTGATTTAGTTAAAAAAGGAGTCCAGCCCTGTCCGCATGTATATTTATTAAAATTTACGAGGTAAATAAACTATATCAAGTACTCAAGAGTTATCTCCCATGCTGGGTCAATGATGCGTTTGAAAACTATAATTAGATTGACTCTTCCAAGATTTCAATTTTTAATCAAAAAGTGCAAGGGCAAGGCGACAATTAATTTGCACGTTAAAACAACATGACCTAAAACACGTGACTTTTGATGTCAAAAAAAATTGAAAAGCGATGGACATACGAAACAAGGATATCAACAGTCTTGTTTAAATCAACATTTCGCCAATTCTATGGTCGAAATAATGACCTTGTCAGAAAATACAGATTAGGACAGATGATACAACTATTTTTTATTTGGAAGAGACTGAATATCATGACACAAGTTTAGAAAAGTGGATAATTCTTAGAATCTTTTCTCCTAAGAACTGGAAAATGAAATAGACTTGGAAAATTTTAAGTGATATTTCAATAAAAAAAATCAAATATAGACAAATTACACCGAGTAAAGGTTTACAGGTGAAAACAAATTTCAGAATACGTTACCCTGTTTGATCAAAGTCTTCAAATTAAGGAGAAGACAGTCTAGATAAGTTATAGAACTCGTGTCTAATCATTTTGATTTGTCAATAAGCACGATAAATTATGTTCAAATCACTTTATACAGTAATCATACAATCATTTGGTAAGTATGACTATGATTTTTTTTATAAAGTGGAAGGCTTCGATAATCCGTGCAAAAATGACACCCTTTTTAAACTGTTCGACTAAATACATTTTAATAATTTTATTATATAATGTTAATTAGAAAAGATATATATATATATATATATATATATATATATATATATATATATATATATATATATATATATATATATATATACATATACATTAAACAGTGAAGTAAGAAGTAACACTGTATATCTTAGTTGTGAATGTTTTATTATTATGTTTACAACAGTTATAAATATGCATAAACAAATATCGTTTTATTATTATGTTTACAACACTTATAAATATCCATAAACAAATGATAGATAATTCAAAGTAATATAATTCAAAGTTATAATCATCACATAATAATAAAAATAGCCAGAGATGAGGACATAAGGTAACATTATCTCATGTAAATCATCATTTATATTCCTCATCTCATGTTTATAGATCAGGTAACTATTTAAAAAAGTAAAACTAGAAAAATTTAATACAGTTTGACAACACAAAAATATAATAATTCTTTAAACATATCAAAGAGAAAAGAAAACTTTTATAGATAAGGTGTCAAAAGGTAATTACTCTCTAGTGATGTCAAAAGTTTAGCAAATTTTTACATAGATATTTCATAATTTCAACTATATAAGGCATTGCCCAATAGAACGTTTTTGTTTTGAAGGAATGTTTTGAAAATGTCTAATCAAAAATATAATTAATTAAATAAACATAAAATATCCCTTGCAGAATTTTCAGTTATCTTTGCTATCAAAATGACAAAGGCAATAACTATTGCCCACGCTTTTCTTAGTTTATATATTTTCTTTATTGTATTTTGATTGTAAAATGCTTTCCTTAAAAGCACACTTTTATGAAATATGTATATAATTTAAAATATTTGGAACTTTCATTTTTAAGACTATGTCAGAAGTATTTACCTAACATTATGTTTGTCTGACATCTTTTAAACATGTTATGGACACTTGTTCTTTTAGATTGATTATGTTAAGCTACATCAAGTAAAAATGGATGAAGTTTTCATACTTTGAACCTGTTAAAGTATTTTGGTGGAGTCAATTCAAAATAGAAAATGTAACGATTAAATAGAAAATTAATTTTCAAATAATGACAATTGTACATCATCTATTTTCTTTTCAAATTTTCATTTTTTTTGTTCTTTTGTTGTAAACTACATTCCAGAGAAACAAAAGCATTAAACATTAACACTTCACACTACATGTCACAAAAATTACAAACACAAAAAGCATAGCAATTCATGGAAAGAAAATAATTAAGAAACACATTCATTAGATATTCAATGTCTTTCCATTTTCAATTTGATATACTAGGATATATACATACCAAAAATTGTTATTACTAATATTTGCAAAATAAAACGTAAAAAAGTTTTGTGTGTACATTTTATTTTCGCAAAAAAAAATAAATAAATAATAATAAGGAGTATGCTTTCAATCATGATTGCATGATTTAAAAAAAATAACAATATACTATTGCCTACAAAAACATAAACAAAACACTGTTTAACTATATTAATAATTAATAAAAGCAATGTTTTTTACACTTAAAATATCTTTTTATGACCCCCACCCTCCACCCCAATATTCAGAGAAAATATTTCCTTTCTAAGGAACACACTGAAAGTTCACATTCACATTTAGCAATATTAAAAACACATCTTCATATAGCATAAGTTTAAAAGATATCAGGAGAAATCGTCATTTTATACATTTGTTCACAACATGATCAATTACAGTTGAACTTCGGTATCTCGAATACCGATATCGTGAATACCATGGATACATTGAAGAGATTGTGAAGGCCAGACTCTTCATTCTTATAATATTTTACCATGGATACATTGAAGAGATTGTGAAGGTAATTATTTTTAATCATTTTCACCATAGTGATAACAAGGTTTTTATAAACAATGGATGCAATGGCTATTTATTATACAACAATTTTTATTCCCTCATTAAATCAGTGAGTTCGATAACAAGATTCATATACACAATACATTATTCGGTTATTCATGATACACCGATATCTTATTCACAACACCTTAGATTAGTAATTTTTACATTTGTCAATTGTTTGGCTTTAAGATTCTGTACAGATAATTCTCATTAATTTTTTAAAAATAATTATAATCAAATATACTAAACATTAATTAGCTTCAATGAACACTCTTATAAATTATTTACAAAACCTCATAAATAAAGCACAATGAAGGAATTTTATACAACACATTAATTAAATATATACACAACAGGAATGACATATATACAGCACATGAGATATATACATTTAACTTGGATCAGATTTACAAACCTATAAATCAGGATACAACATACAATATATTTATCAAATATATACAACACGTGGATCAGATATATACAATACATGAATCAGATATTTACAATACATGGATCTGATGTTTACAACACATGGATCAAATAATACAAACATAATCAAATATATACAACACATGAATCAAATCATGGATCTGGTATATACAAAACACATGAATCAGGTTATATAAACACTATATATATATATCTGTAATATACAATAAAGAAAGCATGTCAATCAATTATGTACACAACACCTTTATCTGATAAACTATAAATTCAACCGTAATACACATCATTTACATCAATTTATATAAAACATAAGATGCGAGAAAAAAGGTAGTAAAACACATTAATTCCATTCCATTACATGAAATATGTGGAAGTACAATAAAATGTGAATTATGTACAAAGGAATTGTTCAAAAACAGTTTTATCCATATTCGTTCATCAAATACACTATACTTTATTCAGCTACATATAACCCACCAATAAATTATTTATACAAAACCTCATAACCAATATACAATTTATGAATCAAATATATAATCACATGAATCAAATATATACAACAATGAATCAAATATATACAATCAAATATATACAACACATGAATCAAATATATACAACACATGAATCAAATATATACAACATATGAATCAAATATATACAACACATGAATCAAATATATACAACACAGATATATACAATACATGGATCAGATAGGTTTATAAAATTCATGAATAAGATATATACAATACATTGAAATAAAACCATTTTGATAAAAAAAAATATACATTACATTAATAATATACATAAACACTGGCCTTTAGTGGAAAGTACAAGTGAAATATTGGGTATCAATGAATAAGTACAAAAAAGCATATTTTGTATCTGAAAAAGTACATATAAAATATAAAATATTGATCCTTTATGAAAAAAATATACATATGAAATATTGGACCTAAATGAAAAAAAGTACATTTAAAACAATAATACTCGGATGAATTTTCACTTCATATATGAAATTTTGAGCAAAAGATAGGATTCCTAATGAAAATCACTTTACTGTTAGTGTCATTCAGTATCAAAGGATTCTCTATTAGCTTGTTTTACTATACGAGGTTTGTCAGTAAAAAAGTTTCCTATTGTTCGCTTGCCATTTTAAATTGCTTCTCACCATTAACAAAGCACACAACAATTTTCTCCCCATTCTTATTTTCAATATTAAGTAAATCAGGAAACTTTTCAACCAGAGAGCTACATATTTTTGTTTGATTTTGGACACAAGCGACGTGTAGGACCGTGTTACCCTCATTGTCCACAACATCTAATAGATCTGGGTAAGAATCTATCAAGTAATCAAACATTGCCTGTTTGTCCACGTGACTACCCACGTGTTTACCCACGTGACAAGAGAGATGTAGGACGGTCTGACCGGTACCTGTTTTACTGTGGACATCTAGACCTTTCTCCAACAGAAACTTAAAGAGTTCTACCTCACCTCCTATAGCTGTATCATGTAAGGCATTAACTCCATCATTGTCCTGAACAGTCAGTAGCTGTGGCTGATGACTGACTAAGTACTCACACATCTGTACTTTACCGTTAATACAACATTTGTGTAGGACTGTTTTACCTTTGTTAGTTTTACGGTTTACATCTAAGCCTTTGTCTATCAGAAAATTCAGGAGATAAATATTACCTCCAAAGGCTGCATCATGTAACACTGACTCGCCTTCATTGTCAGTATGTTCTAGTAAGTCAGGGTAATGGTTGATCAGGTACTTACACATGTGTACTTTACCATTCATACAACTCTGGTGTAAGACTGTTTTCCCTTTCTTTGTTTTACTGTAAACATCCAAACCCTTTTCCAAAACAAACTTAAAAACCTCAACTTGACCTCCCCAAGCTGCGTCATGTAACAGATTTCCACCATCATTGTCAATACATTTGACTAATTCGGGGTGTATTTGGAACAAGTACTTACACATTGCTAACTTACCATTCCTACATGACTGGTGAAGGACCGTTTTACCTTTCTTTGTTTTACTGTCTACATCAAATCCTTCTTCTATCACCATTTTCAACAGGTTAACATTACCTCCCCAGGCTGCGTCGTGTAACACATTTTCATCATTATCATCCTTCAAATGAAGAAAGTGAGAATACTTGTTGTTCAAGTACGTAAACATTGTCTGTTTACCATTTCTACAACACCAGTGTAATACTGTCTTACCGTTGTTAGCTCTACTGTTTACATCGAGACCTTTGTCTATAAGGAACTCAAACAGTTTAACATTACCTCCAAAGGCAGCATCATGTAAAACATTCATACCATCATTATCAAGGGCACCAAGTAAATTAGGGTAATTGGAAACTAAATACCTAGACATCTCTATCTTGCCATTTCTACAACTCCAGTGCAGCATAGACTTACCATATCTTGATGAACAGTTGATATCTAGACCCCTGTCTATCAGTAATTTAAATAATTCAACATTTCCTCCCCATGCTGCATCAAACAGTTCATTTTCATTGTAAATATTTTTCATATTAAGTAAATGAGGGTAATTGCTAAGTAAAAACTTTGACATTGTTAATTTGCCATTCATACAGCTGAAGTGTAGGACTGATCTACTTTCAAATGTTGTATTTTCAACTTCTAGGCCTTTGTCTATCAGAAGTTTGAACACATCAATATTTCCTCCATAGGCTGCATCATGAAGAACTGTGTATCCGTCATTGTCAATAACATTCAAAAGGTCAGGGTGTTTGTTGATCAAGTACTTACACATTTCTAACTTACCATTCAACAGAAATGTGTAAGAACTGATTCACCATTGTTTGTATGATGAACATGTAATTTGTAAGCCTTTGTCTATCAAATACTCAAAAACATTAACATTTCCTCCCCAGGCTGCTTCATGTAGAGCAGTGTGTCCTTCATTGTCAATGCATTGATTTCTATCTAGGTCGGGTAAATTTGTTAATCAAATATTTACACATTTCTAACTTACCATTCATACAGCACTGATGTAGGACTGTTTTACCTTTGTTTGTTGTACTTTTAACATCTAAGCCTTTGTCTATTAGAAAATTAAAGATATTTATATTTCCTCCCCAGGCTGCGTCATGTAACACAGTTATACTATAATTGTCACTGATTTCTAGTAGGTCAGGGTGTTTGTTGACCAAGAACTTACACATTTCTAACTTACCATTCATACAGCACTGGTGAAAGACAGTTTTGCCATTTTGTGTTGTACTTTTAATATCTAATCCCTTGTCTATTAGAAGCTTGATGACATCAACATTTCCTCCCCAGGCTGCTTCATGTAGAGCAGTGTGTCCTTCATTGTCACTGATTTCTAGTAGTTCAGGGTATTTGTTGACCAAGTACTTACACATTTCTAACTTACCATTCATACAGCACTGGTGTAGAACTGTTTTACCTTCATTTGTTTTACTTTTAATGTCAAAGCCTTTGTCTATCAGAAACTCAAAAACCTTAACATTTCCTCCCCAGGCTGCGTCATGTAAAACAGTTCGTCCATCATCGTCACTGATTTCTAGTAGTTCAGGGTGTTTGTTGACCAAGTACTTACACATTTCTAACTTACCATTCATACAGCACTGGTGTAAGACAGTTTTACCATTTTGTGTTGTACTTTTAACATCTAATCCTTTGTCTGTTAGAAACTTGAAGACGTCAACATTTCCTCCCCAGGCTGCGTCATGTAACGCAGTAAACCTATAATCGTCAATGATTTCTAGTAGTTTAGGGTGTTTGTTGACCAAGTACTTACACATTTCTAACTTACCATTCATACAGCACTGGTGTAAGACAGTTTTACCATTTTGTGTTGTACTTTTAACATCTAATCCTTTGTCTATTAGAAAATTGAAGACATCAACATTTCCTCCCCAGGCTGCGTCATGTAACACAGTTTCCTTATCATCGTCACTGATTTCTAGTAGTTCAGGGTGTTTGTTGACCAAGTACTTACACATTTCTAACTTACCATTCCTACAGCACATGTGAAGAACTGTTTTACCATTTTGTGTTGTACTTTTAACATCTAATCCTTTTTCTAGTAGAAAATTGAAGACATCAACATTTCCTCCCCAGGCTGTGTCATGTAACACAGTTTCCCTATCATCGTCACTGATTTCTAGTAGTTCAGGGTGTTTGTTGACCAAGTACTTACACATTTCTAACTTACCATTCATACAGCACATGTGAAGAACTGTTTTACCATTTTGTGTTGTACTTTTAACATCTAATCCTTTTTCTATTAGAAAATTGAAGACATCAACATTTCCTCCCCAGGCTGCGTCATGTAACACAGTTTCCCCATCATCGTCACTGATTTCTAGTAGTTCAGGGTGTTTGTTGACCAAGTACTTACACATTTCTAACTTACCATTCATACAGCACTGGTGTAAGACAGTTTTACCATTTTGTGTTGTACTTTTAACATCTAATCCTTTGTCTATTAGAAACTTGAAGACATCAACATTTCCTCCCCAGGCTGCGTCATGTAACACAGTTTCCCATCATCGTCACTGATTTCTAGTAGTTCAGGGTGTTTGTTGACCAAGTACTTACACATTTCTAACTTACCATTCATACAGCACATGTGAAGAACTGTTTTACCATTTTGTGTTGTACTTTTAACATCTAATCCTTTGTCTATTAGAAAATTGAAGACATCAACATTTCCTCCCCAGGCTGCATAATGTAACACAGTTAACCTATCATTGTCACTGATTTCTAGTAGTTCAGGGTGTTTGTTGACCAAGTACTTACACATTTCTAACTTACCATTCATACAGCACTGTTGTAAGACAGTTTTGCCATTTTGTGCTGTACTTTTAACATCTAATCCTTTGTCTATTAGAAAATTGAAGACATCAACATTTCCTCCCCAGGCTGCGTCATGTAACACAGTTAACCTATCATCGTCACTGATTTCTAGTAGTTCAGGGTGTTTGTTGACCAAGTACTTACACATTTCTAACTTACCATTCCTACAGCACATGTGAAGAACTGTTTTACCATTTTGTGTTGTACTTTTAACATCTAATCCTTTTTCTATTAGAAAATTGAAGACATCAACATTTCCTCCCCAGGCTGCGTCATGTAACACAGTTAACCTATCATCGTCACTGATTTCTAGTAGTTCAGGGTGTTTGTTGACCAAGTACTTACACATTTCTAACTTACCATTCATACAGCACATGTAGGACTGTTTTACCTTCATTCGTTTTTTCATTTACATTTAAGCCTTTATCCATCAAAAGTTTAAAAACATCCCTACTTCCACCCCAAGATGCAGCATGTAACGCACTCTTCCCTTCTTTGTCAATAATTTTTAGTAGTTCAGGATGAATTTCTAATAGGTATTTACACATTGAAATTTGTTCATTTTCACAAGCCATATTTAATGGGGAATGAAAACCGTTGGTGAATGATACTTTAGCATTTTTTTCTAAGAGGTATTTATATAACTCAATATTTCCCGATTGTGCAGCCCAGTGAAGAGAATTACGTTCTTCATAGTCATTAAAAGATTTTTGCAATAACTTAGGATAGGTTTCACAGATGTACTTAACCATCTCTAACTTACCATTTTGACAAGCGTAATGAAGCACAGTAGAACCATGATGACTTCTAGAGTATGGATCAGACCCACTATTTACCAACATTTGAAAGGAATCTTTTTGTCCAGCGAATGCAACAAAATGAAGAGCATTCCCACCTTGTTCATCTTGAACATCGCAAATGGTCGGATAACGTCTGAGAATAGGTTCAACTAATCTATTTTGTCCAAAGAAACATATTTCATGAAGCAAACCCAATCTCAAAAAGGACCATCTGGGATGGTTTGAAAACTCTCTTTGTTTTAGATCTACATTGTCTGTAAAAAGGAGAAGCATTTCAATATTTCCACTTTGTACAGCATAAAAACATGTTTTGAGATCATATTTAACATTTGTTTCTAAGATAATGTCCACAACATCAATATAATTGTAACTACAGGCCTTGTTTAATGATTTATATATTTCTTCTTTCGATGAATTGTGCAGCAAAAAGGCAACCATTTTTGCATTACCAGCCTTTGAGAAATGAACCAACATAGAATTTTCTCTTTCGTCAACACTCTCTCTCATTGATTTTACACAAGCCTTATTCTTCCTGAAATTATCTAGAAATTCATTACATGCCCAAATTTTCATTAAAGATATTGATTTAAATACAGACATTGTTTTCATTCTCTTAAGCAGTACTCTAATTCTCTGTACAAGGATTGGGAACATTTCGACCTCTATTTCATCAGTACTACGGGTCGAGTTAGAAGCAGTTAAATGTACTAGCAAGGATGGGTCGCACTCAGAAATTATTTTTCGTGGGTGATATTGCCAGAGATGACGAAAGAGACTTTGTTGAACAGAGCTGTGTGAAAATCTGAAAGTCTGTTCAATTTCATCATATATCATATATGTACCATCAAACGACCCAACAGAACTATGGAATTTCTGTAGCGAGTCACTAACTTCTGACATTCCTATTATACTCATGGCTTTATGTTTCCTTGGCATATCCTTGTGGGTATTACACAATGTGTTTTTACTAACGATTCCTCCACACAAGAGAATGTAAATCAACACAGCTGTTTTAGGCTCCTTCTTTTGTATTCTTTTTTCAATTTCGCTTTGTAGATAATTTAAAGGATTTATAAAGAGTTCCTGCGCATCAGTAATATTTCTATCTTTTTTATTTTTCAGTAAGCTGAAACATTGCGGGATTCCTATTGAACATCCAAAACGTTGAATGTCTATCTCTTTCATATATGGATTTAGATGCTGTAATCCATATTTCTTCACAAATTCCTGAAACTCTACTTCTTGTATTTGGTTTTGTGTATCAGATATATCAATTACGGAGGAATTTAGAAAGTCATTGTCTCTAAGATTGTGCGCACATTCTTTGTATTCATCATTTCTAATAGTTGTGATTAATACGTTGCCGTTCCCCTCATCGTTCGACACTGTAGCTTTGATCATGGATTCTCGAACCTTAAAATCATGCAATTCAGCTTCCAGCAATCCGTTCTCACCAAATATGTTATCAATAAAAATAGCTAAATTTGAGCACATTGGTAAAGGTTCAATATCTTTTATCGTGTATATCTCTATCGGATACATTCCTTTCTGCTCTAGTTCTAGTAAGATGTGTTTAGCAGTGGTAGTTTTCCCATCGCCAGGGTTCCCTTTAACCAGACAATATCTGTGTTTTTCCAGAGTTCTCAAAACAGTCGAATATGCGCGTGTCTTAACAAACACATCACTTATATTCTCTTCGAAATCCTTCAATATTTTTTTGGTTTTATCTGTTAAAGGGAGTGAAAATGATCAAATTTTGTGTTCTACATAAGTGTAAAATTATTTAGTGAATAAAATGTAAATATGTTTTAGTACAGTTAAATACATAAACAAAATTAAATAAAATATTACATGGCAATACATATTTTCAATAAAAATAAAATAAACAATAAAATATTAGATAATGAAAAACAATTACCTATCTTCTGCTGAAGATCTTTATCTGTGTATAAAAGAGGTTTGAATGAAATGCATTGTTCGATGAATTATACTGATTAAAGCAAGGCAACAGTTTTACAATGTAAAAGACATCAACAAATCATGGTTTAACTAGTGCTAATTGTAACAGGGACCGTTACAGATGTTCCCCAAACGCCCCCCAACTCCCTTTTGGTGCCATATTCCCTGTAAGCTTCATTAAAGAAGACAAACTTTATGCATTTTAGACTTTAACAACGTTTACCCAGAAGGGTACCAAGTTCATTCAAATTTTAGCATTGCACGCGTGCGCATGTGAATACATGTGTGTAACGACCATATAATCTTGTCTACACAATTTATATATTTCAATATACTAAATATTAAAGTATTTCATCCAAAAGAATTTTTTAAAAAAGGCTCATTCAAGTGTATTTTTTTATTTTACTCATTTCACGTGCACACACGTGCATACATGAGCATGGTGGCCATACCTTCTTGTAGAAGTCCATTACTTCTATCAATGTTAAAAATACCACCCCATTTTACTGAAAACCAAGGGAGTTATAGCTGTTTAAAGTTTCAGCCAATCAGATTGCAGCGCAGGTACACGCACGTGTATGGATGAGCATTGTGACCATACTTTCTTGTAGAAGTTTATTATACCTATCAATGTTCCAAATCCCATACTGTTTGGTTGAAAACCAAGGGAGTTATCGCTATTTAAAGTTTCAGCCAATCAGAAATCAGCGCACGTATAAGCACGTGTATGGATGTGCATGGTGACCATATCTTCTTGTAGAAGTCCATTATACCTACCTATGTTCCAAATCCCTTCCTGTTTGGTTGACAACAAAGGGAGTTATAGCTAATTAAAGTTTCTGCCAATCAGATTGAAGCGCACGTGCATACACGTGTTTTCATGATAATTGTTATTTATCATTTTGTAGGATATCCTAATGCATGGCTATGTTCAAAATTTTGTGAAGTGACGACGGCAAAATAAAAAAAAACGCCCTAAATTGATATGACTTGCCATCATTGCTGAAAGTTTTATGAAAATCTGTCGAGGCGTTCTTGAGAAATCGCCTGCACAAAATCGGTAAGAAAAAAAGAATAATAATAATAACAGTGGAAAAGAAACAAACGATTCAGTAGAAGGTCTTCCGTTGGAAACGGAAGACCTTAAAGGCAGAGATTTTAAGCACCGCCTTCAAAAATACCTGGTCTGGGTAGCCCTGTCAAACAAGTGCATGAAGATCCATCATTTGATGCTGGAACTTGATGGACAGCTACTTACTGTTACATGTGTATACCCTGTACGCCTTGATTTGGGACCCATGGTGACCTTCTAATTAACTTTTGATCCTTTGATGTTTACTAGACATGGTATACAGAATTACTGTATTACTATGAAATTTTATAGATTGATAATATATGAATTAAATGTACCTTTAGTATTTAAAGGATGATAATATAGAATGCAATTTTAAAGCCAAAACATTAAACTTTAGTACAAAAACTTTTTTTCAAATGAAATTTCTGTATTATTTTTAATATTTTAAAGTGGAATGTTATTGAAAAAGTTCAGAGCAGCATTGTGTAAAGTAATTAAATCAAAAAATAACGTTTCTAATCAAGGGTCAGTTACATTTTCCTGTTTTATTCCAAAGAGAATTTACAAGCATGTTTCATGGTGACAAAGCCTTATTAAGGATAGGATATTAGACCTATACAGTGCAGATATTTTTTTGTGAAATGTAGTTCATACAACTCTATTTTCATCTAATTAATAGAAGGTATCCAGGGGATGAATGAATCAAGTCTAATTTGGTTGTTACAAGAGTTGTTTTCTTTAAATTAGCACAAACAATAACATCTAAAACAATCTTTGGTTTAATATTTGAATTCATATAATATCAATAATTTTTTTTTTTAAAAATAGGTAAGGGTGTTTTTAAACAATTATTTTATTGCTAATTTTAAAATCGTTTCAAAATCCCCAACACAGGTAAAGTTTGACACCTGGGGTATTTCACTGTGTATTAAATCACTTCCTGTGTATAGGGATTAGGAGACAGATGACCACAGGTAGACTGCTAGCCCCCAAGGCATTCACACCTGTACAAAATAAGCCCCTCCCTCACCTGGAATTTACCACCAGGTAAAAAATCTCTGCCTTTAATAAGAAGAAGAAGAAACAGAGTAAAAACAATATTTTCCCCAACTTCGTTTGGGGAACATAATTAAACATTGCTCTAAATTGTGCACAATGACGTGGATTTTTAATAATCTTTTTTTTTTTCTCTCTATATAAGAAATAAATAATAGTGTGGATAAAACTCCTGCTTATGTGTTCGGGACAGTTTAATTTTCGGTGTTTCGTAATGACTAAGGTACAGTGAGTAGAGGGCACAAAATACAGGGCTTTATTTTGGTCCCAGATATTGTTTACAGAAAGTTATGAAATTGGCTTTTCATCAGTTAAGCATACAAATATGATAAACCATGAAAGAATATTATATGAAGGAAGACCATTCTGGTGGAAGAATATAGAGATAACAAACAGTATTCAATATCAAAGTCCATAAAACAATACAAAATAGAAGCAAAACAAATACGGAGCTCCGAAAGATCAGAGATGTGATCAGGTGCCATGAAGTAAGCATCTTCTGCTGACCGGTCCTACCCACCGTTCAAAGCTTTTTTATTCACATGTTACGGATTTCCCCCATGACTAAAATTACCCACAGATTGGATCACCCCAATTTATGCCCTGAATATTTAATCTACGTATCGTAATTTTATTTAGAGATATCATGGGAATATTACCAATCATCGTATGTCATTTATGTATGCTTTATAATTCATTGTCTTTGTTTATTTCAATAATATCGTTTGTTTGTCATGTACAAACCCGAATTTCCTCCATAGTTCAGCCCAATCGTAATAGCAAATAGCCGCCTGGCATTGTTATTAAATCAAGGTACCCAAATCCAACTTGGCATCGTTACCAAAACAATTCCCAATCAACAAATCATCCCTTTTCCCGCATTTGTAATGATAAAGCTTTTACTTGATGCAAAAGTTATGAGTGTAACCATACAAACGTCGCGCGAATACTGGCGGTACCGCTTGTTATTCGCGCGTGAACTAATTCGCACCGGAATACCAAAAGGTATATAAAGAAGGCACTTTAGACTTTTTCTTCAGTCTGGGGGGTTGGTCAGCCCCTTTAACATCTGACCAACTCAGAGTCCCAACTCCCCATCATTGGGTAAAAACTGAGGCCATCACATTGGGTAAATTGACCCAATATCAAATCTTGGGTAACCCAATCTACCTAATTATTATATATCCTAACCCAACCATAATCAGCTGAACAGATTGTCCCATTGTTGATATTGTGGAACCCAATCAGCTGAATATATATATATATATCCTGACCCAACCATAATCAGCTGAACAGATTGTCCCATTGTTGATATTGAGAAACCCAATCAGCTGACTATTATATATATCCTGTCCCATTATCCATAAGTATACTTTGTTTGTATTTTATAAATCATAAATCATTATTGTTATTGTTTGAATAAATTCATTTTATAGATAAACAAATCTTGTTGATTAATCAAGGTAAATCTCAGGAATAAGAGGACCCACATAATTTTTGTAACACCCAAGATCGGGTCACGTTACAATTTGGTGTCAGAAGTGGGATATCCATTTGCTTATTTCTGTTTACCAAAATTTTTCTATTAAATAGACAAAAGAATTTTTATTAATTTTTGTATATTTTTATTGACCCAATCAATTTTTGTATCCAATATTCACAATGGAAACTGAAGATAGTTTTGAAGTCACTTTAAAATCGCGTCCATCTTCGCCCAATGCTAAGGCAGATAATCGGGATCATAATTTACCCACTCCCAGTCTCCAATCTTCCCCAATGGTATCAGAGTCAGTACCGCCTGCAAAGAACAATCAATTGGACATGTTAGTGTCTATGGTACAAAGTGTTAACCAACAATTGTTGGGTATGAGACATGAATATCATGAATTGAGAGATCATGTTAATCATTTAGAAAGAAAATTTGAAAACCCAACCTATGACAAGAGAGACAATCATCACACACCCAGTGTCTCAAAATCCAGACCCATTCACCCAGTCCACTCTTATGATGATTTCCAACCCAATATTCATACAGACCCAACGAACGGGCAAAGGGAATATACACGTCACCCAAGAACAATGTCGGGTACCCATTATTCCCCCTTACTTGAAATAAATAGAAATGAAAATGGAATGCCTCTCCAATCTACACCCAAAGCCCATGTTACCATAAAACCCCAAACATTTGATGGATCAGAGGACTTTGATGAGTACCTTGCCCAATTTGAAGTTTTAGTTGATTTGCATGGGTGGGACTATAAAACAAAATCACTGTATCTCGCCAGTAGTCTTACGGGTAGTGCCCGTGCCCTACTGAGTGAACTGAATGAAATTCAGAGAAGAGATTTTAACTCCCTTGTAAAAATCTTAAACAGGAGATATGGCTCCATTGAAAGGTCTGAAATGTACCGTGCCCAACTCAAAACCAAAACTAGGGGTGCAAATGAATCCTTACCCGAATTGGCCCAATCCATTAAAAAGCTAACTCGTCAAGCTTACCCAACGGCTGACCCAACCATTATCAGCATTCTGGCCCTTGATCAATTCATTGATGCCCTACCAGACCTAGATATGCGATTAAGGTTAAGGGAAGCCAAACCCAAAGACATAAACGAAGCTGAAATTTTGGCCATTCGGTTGGAAACATATAGATTGGCAGACGCCCAACGAAATAAAACTGTTCATGCCATTAACAAATCAGAAGTGTCTGAACCCATCCAAAACTTGCGGGATGACCTACAATCCCTTACCCAAGAAATCAGAACTCTAGTAAGGAATTGTCAAATGCCTACCCATAATTTGACAGAAACCCCTTATGCACATTATTCCAATATGGGCTCATATGAAAACTC